GAGCAAGGGAACACCCAGTCTCAAACCACTGTAAGGTCACAATGTGCGTGATCTAAATGCCTCCCAGAAAGAACAGTTCTGCTGTCAGGCAACCTTTCATCTGCAACAAGCACTTTAAAATCCAAACAAAAATAACTCACTCCCCGAATTCATTGATAGAATGGCTTGAGCTAAACGCATGAACGGGGTGGGGAGGGGAATGAGGAAGTGTTTCTGCATAATTCTTATGTATAATGCATGTAATTATGGAACAACTCCAGGCTTCCAAAAGCTGCATACAGAATTGGGGGGTGGGGGGAAGAAAACAATAGGTCCCTGAAAACAGAACACTGAACAGAACTCTAGGTGCACCACTGCGCGCCTAGCAGCAACTGGCCAAGAGCTAGGTTTCTCTAATCACTATTGCATATTTTTGGCATGTTTTCTTACAGTTACTTGACTTGGGCTACAATTTAAAAACGAGATTGCTAAGAGAGTTCCAAGTTGTACTCAGGTGAACTAAAGTCAGGAAAAGGATCAAGGGTTGATTCAAGACCACTGCATCAGTTATGACATGTATCTAGATAAAATTAAAAAGAAAACAAACAACTATTAGAGAAGAGAATATGGATCATTATCAACAAACTAGTTAACATGTTACAGAAAATATAAAAAAAAACCTAGGAAATCAGTCAAAAATATAAATGGATTTCTTTTTTAAAAAACAAAGAAAAGACAACACAATACACACAGAGGGGAAAAAAATTACCCCTGCAGTTTTTCCTCACTTTTGAGATGCGTTAGCCTGGTTTTCTAAGGAAAAATGAGGCTTCTGAAATTAACCTATCCACCTACCTGCACCATCTTCTCTATTCCTTCTGTTAACTTTTGAACTACCGAAAGATTTTAACAAATTTGACAGCAGTCTCAGATGAACTTATACAGGTTTCATGGAAGTAGGCAACTGGTAGAACAAACATCCAAATAACCTTCCCTGAGAGAAAGACTACAGCCTAATGTCAGCAGCTATATGTTTGGTTTGGTGTGTCAGCCTGCAAGCACAGAATCAGCAGCACCATGTGCTGCCTCCTGCCAAGACTGTAGCTAGTGGGCATAAAGGAACACAGACCCAGAAGGTAAAGGAAGAGCAATTTTTAGAGAGGGCTACCAGGAACAAAAGAACCAGCTGACAGGACTGCGGCTGGAGGCTGCAGGATGCAAGGGCAGGTTTAACTGATTGAAGACTTGGGACACAAATCCCTAGAAAAATAACCCCTACTCATATCTTTACTTAATTAATTTATTGCCTACATATTTATGACCTTGTGGTACACTGCTATATACTTATCTTTTTAAAAGGTTTTTATCAATTACATATTTTATTATCTAATATTCTACTGTGTCTAAACAATTGAGCATTATTTAAGCTGCTTGTGCCGACTTTTCAGTATATGCTATGGTTTATGCTGAGATTATCAGTAAACCTAATATTTAATTTGGAAAAAATATAATTCAATTATAAACAATGCTCTGGTTTTCACTGCACAACAGTGCACGTTTCTTACATGTAAGCAGCTCTCTAATGTACTAAATTTATTTGCTTTTGTCTATTTTAAATTCTTTGGTTTCTGAACCAAAATGTTTCAAATCAGTGTTTCAAAAAGATTTGGAGGTGCTATATCTCTCTCTGTTGTTCCCTTTGGTATTGGGGTGTTCAAGTCAGAAGAACCATGATTCATGCAATGAAAAATCAGGCAGGTTTACTGTCTTCAGTCACCTGATGAAGTAATTAAATCCAGCATAGATATGCACAAAGTCTCTGGAAAAGAGCTTCTAGAGACTCCCTAGAATTTAATTTCTCTAAAAGAACTGACTGAGGAAAACTCATATATAAAGCTACATATTCCTACAAGTTTCCCTTAAGTTGATGACGTTGCAACTGCAACTTGCTGCCAAAATAATGGGGGGGGGAGGGGAATAAATCATGGACTTTGCTATTTGTGTGTTTTTCAAGCTGCTTCACATTAGACTTACAAAAGACTACCTAAGCTTTAGCTTTGTAGTACAATGGGATCTTCATGGCAAAACTAATGGACAAAGAAATGCAGATATGGAAGTTTCTGGATAGAAATTTTGATGATTTAAACATAAATCTTCAATCTAATAATAAAAAGAACTGATACTTTATTAATAATAAGTAGTACTGTATATGGATACATCCTATTTCATCAATAAGCAATTACAAGCATGGATCTAGTATACAACATCAAGGTCATATACCTGACACTGTAGCTGTTTGCAGGAGGAGGGGGAGAATGATACAGGAACAGGGCTTAATTTTCAGAGGTCTGATCAGACCATTTAATGCAGAGAAAGACAGCTGGTTCATCTCAAACCATAAAACTGGAAGTCTCCCATAAGTATGCATACATAAGCAACTAACAATACTAGCAGACAGTGATTCAGTTGAAAAAAGAAACAGCAGTTGCAAACAGCTAAAAAAGAAAAAAAAAAAAAGAGTTCTTTGAATTATTGATAGCTTGCTCTGCTCAAAAGATTTATAGTTCACCCAACTATCTGCACTCCTTCAAAGAAGGAAGAAGGAAAACTGAACTGCTTCCAAAGGCAGATAACAGCATTTTAAAGTCATGCAGAAGAAGGTATAAGCATAGCACATGCAAAGAACAGAAACAAGGCATAGGAAGAATTTGGTTGCAATAAAGCAAGGAAAAACAGAAATGTTAAAGGAAAAGTTCAAGAAAGTAGAATCACTTGGCCAACATGCTTCCAAGAAGCTGTGCTTCTGAGAAAATGCTGAAATTCGCCAAATCTCTTGCTAAAAAAGAAATTTCTGACATTATCTATAATTTTAGGAAGTGAACTGACATTACTTTACATTCCTGTACATTTATTTCAATATCATTACCTATAGGTCTCTTGAAGTTTAAAGAAAAAAAAAAACACTTTGAAGCAAATTTTAAACTTTAAAGAAAAAAAGTCCTGGAAACAGAAATAGCAATTGAAAGGGTGTTTCAAAATATTAACATATCATGGTGGTGAGAAACCTGCTTTCCTAAAAATAGACATCGGTTATTTTAACTTAAGCTATGCTTGCAGACTATAGGACAATTCTTAAAAAAAAAGTTTACCTGAACAGTAATTGCTTTTTTACTTTAAACTATTTTCCACAGATTAGCAAGCTCTCTCTACTATTTCTTGGTAGTTTAAAACCCCAGACAACACAATTTTATTCAAATATAGTACAAGAATGCATTCTTGTAAAACAGCTACCTTCTAAACAGTATGCAATATTCTATGCACAGTACTTAATAGCTATCAAGTATGGCTTGAACACCATTACTGTGTTATGTTTAACACAGGTTGGGAAGAAAAGAATCATTAAGAATGTCCTTGTTACACACTTAACTGTGCTACTGTTGCA